CCAGATGTCTTGTTGACACATTGTCAGTCCTCAGCTGCGGGCCTAAGCAGCTCCTTCAGTTTCTCCAGATTAAATGTGCACCACTAAGGCTTTCAAAGCAGCATAAATAACTAACAGGTGGAATCCACTTGCTAATTTGACCACAGAAAGTTAAAGGTTTCTCTGGATTTCACTTAGAAGCATCTGTGTAAATGGAACTGATATAAATGCATGGCCAGATACAGTATCAGCTATTTGGGGGACTAAACATTTGTTTCGTTTCTTTTTGAAAAATGTTGGTCTATCACATAAAATCCAAACAAAACGCATTAATTGTTTGTAACATGAAGAACATAAAAAAAAACTTCAAGGGGTATGACTACCTTTACAGTGTGTTGAAATTAATGGCTTTTACCTTACCTACAGTGAAAAGCAAGCTTAGACAATGAAACACAGTCATCATGTCGAGGCTGAAAAGCATTACAGTGTTAAATAAGTGGGATGCGTCAGTGGTACGTGTGCATGACAGCTTAAAATAAGTATGGTGGGGAGGAATATTAATCTTGATTGATATTCAACCTGAGAGGCAGGCGAGCTCATGTTTCACTTCCTCTGGCTGGATGCATCTAGCCGTCCTCTAATGAGTTCATTCTGTGTGTGCAACTGTAGCCATTTTTCTCTCCTTTCTTTTTTTTTTAACCATCTAGGAGGTTTAATAACAAAGCAAGATCCTATAAGATAAATTAAATTCCTGTGAATGTTCAGATTTTTCATTACTTCATTACTCTAACGGTACCAGATGTTCCCGTTTGTGTTCAGAGGCGGATTCTATGAATTTACACATAAAACAGTTTATGCTTTGCTCTAGTTTCACCTAAATATTAGATGCTGTGTTTAAATAAACTCATTGCGGCTGAAAGTGGCTGGTGCAGCCACTTTCCTGATATTCAGCAGCTCTTACGGACAAGAACAAAAATACATCATCTACTCTCCCTGTGAGCTGTAAGAACTCTCCAGGAACGATGAAGGGATGGGAGTGAGGTGGAAGTATGATTGAGACACACTTGAAGCCAGACGAGTTAACGTGGTAACAAAAACTAAAAAGGAACGAAAAAAAGAGGAAAGAAATCAAATGGCTGAGCAGCTTTCATGACGGTGTTTAAACGCACCTCATGTTCTCCATGGTGTCTTCTGGCATCGGCGCCACTGTCTGCACCGCAGGCAGATTCTTACTAGTTGCGCCATTAACGAACGACGACGAGGACGAAGAGGACGAGGAGGCAGAATCAGCAGCACCTGGGAAGGGGGGGGTGATGCCCCAAAATAAGTTGACTATCACTGATACAAAACACCAATAAGAGGCAAATACATTTTATTTAGATATTATTTATCCAGACCTGCAGCCACACCTTTTCTGATCATGGTTTGTGAAAATAGCTTTGCAATCAATATAAAAAAGCAATCTAATGCAGGGAGCAAAGCCCTAGCCTCGTTCATAATGGAGGCATAACACAGAACAGTAACTCTGAGAGGCTGGCAGAGACACCAATACCAATCTATTCCCCTACAATGGATCCAGAGTGTGATGCTACATCTTCTACGAGGAGCAAAAAAGAAAAGTAAACAAGAGCAACTGTGTGAAAGCGTTGCTGACAGCCAGAGGAGAGATTGCTTTCTTGCACTGAACTGCTTGTGTTTTCTATCCAATCGTAAACTGGTCTCATCTGGTTCCTGCAACGCTGACACTATTTCTGAAAAAAGGAGCTGCTGATTCAGCTCGTCTTTATTCTGTTTTTTTCTCTGGGTGGAAATAAAGCGAAGGAGAGTTTTGAGACGACTCAATCAATTCTCAAATTCTGTTCCTGCCACATGGAAAGTCATTTAGGTAAAACAGTTAATTAACCAAATCTATATCAGGGTCAGAGAGGCATTGATAAAAGTTTTTCCTGCCCGACGTTATTGCAAGTTTTCTGTAAATTCTTATTTTCCAATTCGACCCTGATAATAATAAGAAGATACCACTTTTTTGATAGAGAGGATGGTTTTTAAAAGAAGGAAATAAATTATTCCTTTTTTAAAAGCAAGTACATTTGACGTGTTTTGTAATTAATGTATTGAAATATTTTATTATTGAAAAGGTAAGTTTATTTTTAACAGTTACATATTTAGATAAGAGAAACACAATTATATTGGTAAATCAAATTGCTATCTTTCTTATATAACCATCCAAATTGGAGTTGGAAAATACAAAACTGAGTGAGAAAAACCTGCAGCTGTGTAAAGCATTTAGAGATAGGTTATAGTGGTAGTAAGGATGTGGTCTTTGTTAAGTTGAACAAGAAGATTTGATCTGTAAATGAAAAGAAAAGAAAAAGGATCCCTCCCTTCCTTCTTAATTAAATTTTTTAAAATATCAAAACCAGGATTTTAAAGCATTTGGCCCTTAAAATTAAAGGGTCTACAAACTTTGGCTGCAAAGTCTTTTGTGTGCGTCTTGATCCTGCACAATCACATAGAAGTTTAACAAAATCTACAGAGATAAGTGTAACTTTTCTTCTTTTTTTTATAAACATAGAACAGAAACAAAAAGAGAGGATGTTTTTCCTTTATTTTCTAACATATATTTTTTCCACCCCAGGTATGTTTTTCTGCCCTGAACAACTTTTATTTTGTAGCAGCAAGGCTTTATCCATACATCTGACTGATCTGTGTAAGTTCTCACCTGTGGTGTTGATCATGCTCTTAGGGGTTGCTGTTGCAGCAGCGAAAATGTTGGGTGTGCTGCCAGGAGTGGCCGATCCACCGGTGGTGGGTGTGCCCACCGTGTTGACTGACAGGCTGCCTGGTGGGGGCTTTTTCACTGGAACAACGACACTCCTAAAAAAAGATGAGACACAAAACCATGAGGCAAAGAGGCACATGAGACACCAGAGAGGAAGTTTGCTCTTTATATTAAAACAGTACTGAACTGACGTGACAGTCAGTCAGACAGTGTGGCAACATGAAGCGACAGGTGACTTAGGTCCTCTCTGAGGTCGCCACAACATATGCCAGTAGTAGTGTAGAAAAGCCTCTTATTTAACAGACTGAACAATATTTTTTAGATTTGGCTCTTTTTTGCTTGTTTCATTTATTTGAAATAATATGGAAATTATTGAATTAATCAGCTAATATAAAACCAAAGTATTAAAGCCAATATTCTAATATTTCTATCTAGAAATCCTTTCCCAATGGAAACTTGACGGTTGAATAAAATCAAACTTTAACTTTTTTTTTATGCAGACACATAATTTTTCCCTGAAAAATGTTAAGAAACCCAACCAACAATTTGACTTTATTAATACAGCTACAGAAAAAAACAATATTGTTTTTATTTATTTCTTTAAGATATAGTAAAAGGTCTGCTACTCTCCCAGGCCTTTATCTCCAAGTCACTCTTAAAAATGAAAAGTAATGCTACGTTTACACCAGACATGCTTTTGGCAGCAAAAAAAGTGGCTGCTGCTTCACTTTTTTATACGTGTAAACATTAAGATCCAACGTGCGTCAAAAGCATCTCGGATGCTCCTGAAGTGCATCCGGTAAAGTTAATCAGATGCATCTGATGCTTCTGCTGCTCCTGTGTTGAATGGCAGAGAATGGCTTAGCTATATTTGCTGTGATCAGTGGGTAAAAAAATTGTTCCAATATTTCTAAATGAGAAAGTCCACCTTAAAACATCTTCTATGCAGTCAGTTCATTAAGATTACAATACTGCCATAAAATATTATTTTGCCAGTGGAACCGCTCAGACCCCCACATACCAGTGTTGTCTGTCACTGGGAATCCCCAGCAGCAGCTGGGGGGTTCCCCCTAGAGTTGCGGAGGAAGTAGCGTTTTTCAGGTATGTGGTACAAACTACAGGCACCGGAATAATAAAAGCAAACATATTTTGCCGACAGGTTTCGACATTTAACATTAATCTGGGCCATAATAAACAGTTTCAGAGGAGTGATCATAGCGATCCGCTTCAGCAACCTTTGACTTTGCATGTAAACCAGCTGCTTCTGCTGCTTCAGTCGCGTGCAGTGTGAATGTAACATAATATTGATGCAAAAGGACAGATGAGACCAGAGCCTGTAGAGGCTGGAATGATAATATAAACCTTTGCTTCTGCTTTGGGTTCACTGCAAATAATTGACTCTGGATAGAAGTTAGTCCGTCCTATTACTTTAAAACTAATGTAATTCATTATTTCCACCTCAACAACATTGTTTGAGTGAAAACATTTCCTGTTTTAGCAATCAAACAACTGGTAGTGTCTCCCAAAACAAGTAAAACCGGGGCATGACTGGGTCTTGCATTAAGAGATCGGAACCAAGCGGTTCCAATCAGAGCCTCTGTATTCTTTAACATTTGGAAATGTAAAAGTAGACAGATACTAACATTTCTTGGATTGGTGATTTATTGAGATTATTTAGTTATTTCCCCACTTATAGCTTTTTCCTAAAATTCATCTTCTAAAATATAAAAGTAGATTTTTCCCGTTATTTTAGAGTGAGATTACGCTACCCAAATATCTATTTATTGATTTCTACAAGCACTTAGACAGAATGCCTAAAGTGGGTCGAAAATATGGAGAGAGGCCTTAAGAATGATGCAGATATCCTGGAGGGATGAATGTAGAGCAGCTGCTATTAATAATGCATACTGTATTCAATCAATGACTTAGCTCACAGAAGCAGTGACAGAGCAGGATCAAGGAGACTAGATGATGCAGAGGAAACTCAAGCAGCTCAGAAATTTTCAGATGTGAGTGTAGACTAAACAAAAGGATTAACCATTGCTGTATTAGTCATTTTAAAAGCATTATTTAAAATATCCAAATAGATTTTATCTGGTTTCTTTTTGTTTTAGTGAAGGAAAAATGAAACTGCTGTTAAGTGAATCTATGGGTCTCAATCAATGTTGACTGTAATAACTTTTGGATGCGTTTTAAAGTGCTGACAGATATATTTCTTTTTTTGTTAGTCTCATTGTAGATATGACTGACCTGTCAAAGGAGTGGAACTGCATGGGCAGCATAGGATGGGTCTTCAAGGCAGGGTCTGGGTGGTACGGTGTTGGTCCGGACTCCTGACCCAGTTCTGTGCCGTCAATGGGAGCAGCCACCAAGCTCTTCAGGATCTCCTGCATTTCAGGGAAATAATAAAATCTGGTGAACAATGAATTATTACTGTGGACACAATTTGATTTGTGTCTAAAAAAAAAGAGAAATAGATCGAAGGAAGATTTAAACTATGAAAGCACAGCCTGTCAGCAGAGGTACAGTGAAAGTGTTTTATTTATTTATTTTTTTTTTTAAGATTCTGACGCTGTTTTAATGCAAACTGCATAGATAAAAATATAGATCAGTCAGCCTGACTGTATATCAAGAGATTAAAAGATGCATGACACATAATAAAGCAGAAAAATGAACACATTTTATTTCAGATAACATATACATATAACAGACAACCATAAATTAATTATTAAGGCAAAAGAGGCAAAAAGCTTCCCACCCCCTAACAGCTGGTGTTACTGTCTTTCAGAGAGATTGTTTCTTGTCCAGATTAAAGGTTTGCTTCTTTCCTACTGCATGTTCAGCCGTTTGCATCTCATTGAGATCTGGGTTTTGATATTTCCCATTTTAAGCCTGTCCTGCGTGGTTTCACCAGTATATATTTTTTATCTTTGCCATGCAGCAGGGTTCTGCTTGCATTTTAATTTCTTCAATATATGTTTCCTCATTTTATCAAGTAGGTACCCTCTCATACTTTTTTAGAAGTCTTGGTGTCTAGATTTGATACTGACCAAGTCCTGCTGCACCAAAGCCTGTCCAAACCGTGACACCTCTGCAGTAGCTTCATGCTTTACAATTAATATGAAATCCTTTCCTGTCAAGCTGTATTTGATTTTTGACAAGCATATCCAAATATTTAAACTAAAGATTCCTTAGAAAAGTGTTTAAGAATAACATAATAGTGACGAGTTAAAAAATAAATCAAAACTGTAGTGTAAAGTGTTTTAACAATATAAATACTGTGCACCTGGAGAATAAATAACCAATTAGGGACATTTTTACAGTAATGGATATTTGAAAATAGCAGTAACATCAGAGATGTGCAAAATGCAAGCAGCGTGTTTTCACTAACAAGCGCAATAACCTGCAGTACAGTAGGACCCATGAGGGTTTTTAGGTTTATTTCAGGATCTTGTGGTGTGCATTCAGGCTAAACTTGCTTGAAAAGGGGGGAACTGGGTACGTTAGAGCATTTTTAACCACTTACCGGGCTCTGGTAGCTGCAAAAATCAGAAGGCTCCTCTCCTCTCGTTACTTTAACTTCAGCAATCAGGTGCACTGACTAAAGCCAACCTAATTCAGAGCTTTGATCGGGGCAAACGAAATGCTGAAACAATACTCTCATCATGCACATCTAGTGAGGTCTAAAATGCACACGTATAAATTAGGCCTTTTTAAAAGAGAATAAATTGGATTTCTTTTTATTAAGGAACAGTTTAAAGATTTTCTTCTTTATTGTTTAACTGGTATTAAAACCATTTTTTTCCAAATACGTCAGAAGAACACACAGACTTGATATAATATCCTTGTTTTAAGCTCACCTTCACATTAATGCCTTTGTTTGTTTGGCTGATGCTAGAGATGGATGAAGGAGGGGCTTGGCTCGAGTTCGGAGTGGATCTGGGCTCATGGGGAGAATCCAGAAGGCTCTCCTGCGACCTTCGCACATCAGACAGACTGCACAGAAGATCTGTGCCTCCTCCCCCACTTCCTCCCACTCCTCTTCCATTGTCTCTGTCTCGGTCTCTGTCTGTCTCTCTCCCCACCAGGCCCAAACCCAGCCCTCCAAGGCCCACCTCTGAGCCGTTGAGAGATCCGGCCACGTGTCCTTCTTCTCCGATGCCTGAGTCTGTGTGGGGGAGGCCGGCGAGTGGGGAGTCGTCCACGGGGGTAGGGGTCTGCTTGTCGCGGTCAGTGAAGGCTGAGGATGGGTGCTCTTTTGTGATGAGAAAAAACATTTCATTGCTTTAATTAAAACACATTTATACCCATAAGGAAATATGCTTTTATGACTGAAAATAATCTACTAACATCTTTTCTTGTAAACTTTGGTTTGTTCTGAATAATTAAAAAACATTTGGGGGGGTGGGGTATGATATCCCTGGCAGATTATTGCATGCAGCCTGTATTTTCTCCACTCCAGCGTTGAAGTGATGAGTCACTGGTGAATAACTGATATGTACAAGATGAAGTAAAAGAAGAAAAACACAGAAACAATCACCTGTACTGGTTGGAGAGTTTATCTCGTGCCGGATGCTTCTCCCCGACAGGCTGGTGGACCTGCCAATCTCTCTCTGTGGTTCCAAAATGTCTCGGTATTTTGACACCATGAGAACAGAGATGAAGTATACGACTGCAAGCGCCAAAAACTGCGCTTGCTTACTGTCATCCTGCAGTAAAAAAAACAAAAAAAAAAACAACACAAAATATACATTGTAAATAGAGAGCATTTTACGCTTGTGTTATAAAGTAAAAAAAAAAACCACAAACAGGCCTGCTCACCACATCTCTGAAGACCACCGCTCGAAGACGGTTGATATCCACGTCCTGCAGGAGTCTGTCTGGATCCTGCTGAGAGTATAAGGCATGAAATTTATTTGGTCACAGGTGCCAAAGCCTCTGTCTCAGCCTTAAGGTGCTACAGGATGCGAATATGATGAAATGTCTGTTTGGTACCTTGCTGGCAGTGGAGGCACTGTGGAGGCTGTCCTGTGACTTGCTGCTGGTTAATGAAGACTTGCAACTTCGATCTCTCTGTCTTTGTCTGCACTCCAGGCAGTTTCTGACAGCTACACAACAAACTGAAGGCAGAAGGAGAAAACATGTAAAGGTGGTATGATGCTGAGGGCTACATAAAGCTACAGTTGGATCCCTCTGCTATGCCTAATGATGTTTTGCAATTTGGTTTTTCCAAGTTTGATTTTTCAGCTAAATTAGAAGAAAATATTTGATGTGCAGTATAACAGATTTGTATTTAGCAAAAACTTTAAAAAAATACATTCTTTAGGTGTTTGCAAACTGAGGTATAAATCTGTAAGCATGAAAAGCAGACCAGCAAATTTGAATTTCATAGGTATTCTTAAAGATAATTCAGCTTTCTAGAAAAACCTACGTGACTCAAAGACATTGGTTCTGGGCAAAATGAATGAAAATTCTCTTAATTTCTATACAAGCAAATTCTTTATAATAAAAAAAAAAGCCTGATTAAAGAGTCGACCAATCAGAACAGGGTATATTTTGGTCAGCACCAGAAGTCTGTCTTTCTTCCTTCTTTGCTTATTTATTTATTTGTCTACTTTTGGGCCCTAATTAAACATCTAATTTTCTTCTCAGAAATGCAGATGCATTTATGAATCCGCTTCTAGGTTAATCAGAGGATTTTAAGAAAGTTGAAGAATTGCATCTAAAAAAAAAAAAAAAAAACTAATGTTTATTTACCGGAATAGCATATATATTACTATAAAACAGTGAACATGAGCAATGTTTTATTACTTAAGTTTCATAAATAAAGGATTCTACAAGCTAAATGATGTAAAAGGCTGAGAAGAAGTGGTTTATATATAGAAAATGCTGTAATGTACTCCTCATATTTCACTTGTCACTTTCTCTGCTTTAGAGTGTGGGTCATACTGCAGGTCAGCTCTGTAACCAGGGAGTCACTCTGTTCTCATACACAGCAAGCGATGGATGTGATGATAGAGAATCGCTGCTAAAGGCTTTAGATGAGTCACCAATGGATCCTTGTTTGCTCAGGGTCAGGAACATGTCGTTTTAGGTCCTTCTCTGGTTCGAATAAAAATGGTCAAAGCTGTGGTGCCAAAGATACTTAATTAACATAGCTGATTGTAGCAGTTTATTTTAGATTGTAACCCAAAGTTTCCCATTTTTGGCATGAAAGCTGCTCATTTACGAATGCACTACATGTCAGCATTGCCAGTTTTTTAGCTCAAAGCACACGCTTTCTTGTGGATTGTGCCACTTAGCAAAGTAGACTTTAAGCGAGCAATTTTCAGCATCAAAGAGCTGTTTCAAATGAAGCCAGAAGTACAAAGATGGCAAAAGTCATCTAAAGGGAAAATGTGTTCTCCAGCACCTGGCTGCAAGAAAAGCAGAAAGAGGGCAAGTCCTGAACAACAAACGATAGAGACAGGAGGGCAAAAAAAATCTGATTTCAATACTGTCCTTTTATTTTCAAATAACTACTTTGATAGAAATAAACATTTTTTGAATCATTATTAGGAGATCAAAGTCTCTTAATCTGAAAAAAAAAATATCTGAAATTTATGATTAAAATTTTTTTTAGATGCACTAAAAGTAAGACAAGCTGTTCCTAAAATAAAATAATTTTTCCTTGGTTTGAGAAAATAAGCAATGCAATTTACCAATGGAACAAAACAATTTACTTTTAAAATAAAAAAAAAGAAAACCCATCATCCTATTTCAATTTCATAATATCTAACTATAATCAATGAAAGGACAAAAATACAAATTTTATTAGCAGATCATCTTCTTTATCTGCTCAGGGAAAGTATACATATTTAAAAAAATCTTTACCCATTTTCTTTTTTTTTTTTTTGCAGCATGTGGCAAAAGCCCTTTCCAGTGTTATCTCTTATAAAAATGTATATGTAAATGTAAAATGTATTTATTTTAGTTTCAGATACAAACTGACTTAATCTTCGCTATTATTTATCTGTTATATTACACATAGTAGCATCGTGTTGAAGCAAGCTGTAAACCTGTAAGGAACATAGTATCTCCACCCCCACTCATGACTGCTGCAGTCTAGATTTCGATCAATACGGTATATTTTAAAGCAGGACCCACCGAGGCGAAGACACTGCCTCATTAGTCCTCCAGACGACATGTTCTTCTCTGCTTCGATCTCACTGAAGTTCAACGAGCTGGCAAACACCAAAACGTCCACCATGGCCATCAGGCGAGACAGAAAAGTGACCGCTGTCTCTGAAGACATGCCCTGCGTTGCTTCTATGTTTTCCAACTCCGTCTAGGATGGAGAGATGACAGAAATCCACATATGTTTGAGAATTGACCTGCAAGTAACGGGGTTATAAGCTCACTGTATATAAGGAAAGATAGTGGAATAATGTTTTCTAAAAATAAATCAGCCTTGGGAAAACTGGCCCTGGATCAGCCATGGCTGTTTGAGGAAACAAACGGGAACAGGAAGAGCAACCTTCAGTGTCATGCTGAGAAATCAAGATGATGAAATCTGGTAAAGTGCTCTCTAAAATACAGAGTAAATGCAGCCGGATGACACACAGGTAATGGCAACAGTGGCGTTGTGACAGCAGCAGTGCGGCTTGTGGTCGTCATGTGACCTTTAAATCAGCTCTGCGTTAATCCCAAAATGCACAGAGTTCAAATGTAATATAGAAAATTCAATCGCAGCATAGCAGAGCTTTTGAATCAAGTGTTTGGGTTTGCTGTTTCACTGCTTCTGTAATAGGAGTGTGCAGATCTGTGGGGAGTAGACAAAGTGCACGCATCTGAAGGCTCATTAGAGCACAGACAGTGGAGGAATAACAGAGACAGAGTGAGGACAGAGGTGCTCTGGTTGTTGCTCTTAGTTCTTCTGGTGATGATGAGAGTCTCAGGCTCAGTACGCACCTCTCCCCCTGCGCCTCCTCCCCCAGGAACGGGGGTCACCTCCTCTCCCTTCGAACCCCTCTGGGGTCCGGCTCCTCCTGCCTTCTTTAGTGTTGATACAAACGGGACATTCTTAGCAAAAGCAAGTCTCTAGGACTGCCTAAAACACGCTTCTCTCATTGAAAATAAACTGCAGCCCAGCTCAGAAATTCCCACAGACATGAAGAGCATGAAGTCAAATTAAGTTTAAACTTTTAGTCATTTATTGGAATGATTCTCAAAGTCAATGGAGGGCACCGTATAAAGCAAACAAATACATCTTGATGTAAGTAAATAAATGACAAAATATTAATTCTGTTTTATTTCATACGGACGTTTATATCCATTAATGGGATATTTTTTATTAATAACAGAACTTGTTGAAATGTTAAACTAATAATATGCAATATATGAATTATTTAAACTGGATAAAAAATATAAATACACCTTTACAGATCCTGCTATCTATTAAAACTTTTCCAATAACAGCCTTTAAATAGCAAGTTTATTTTAGCATTGTTTTAGCCTTTTTATTAAAGCTTAGTACAACTTCTATTAAACCTCAGTTATTACATGGATGAATGTCCCCTAATCAATTGCAAACAAGATAGCCAGTTTTAGCCTAGCTGGATGTGTTTCTACAGGGTTGAAAGAATGTGTAAGATGTATTCAAAATGGTCATTTTGGCCACCAGTTTAAAAATAAAAAAGGCCATCCCAGAAGCTATATGTCAGCATAGCAGAGAGGTCTGCAACCTTCGGCTCCGGAGCCACATGTGGCTCTTTGGACCTTTAGCAAAGGCTCTTAATACTAGCTAATAATGATATAAAGGACTAACTAATATACGATGATAAAAAATATTAGTGTTAGAAGCTTTAGCGGACTTTATGACAAATATTTGAATTGAATTTTCGCAAAAGAATGACATTAAATGAACCAGAAATATGTTTTTCGAGCCTTTTTCTTTTAACTAGTTAGAAAAATATGTGTTTTTTTATTATTCTAAAAGCTAAAAACACAAATAAACTGCTGGTTGTTTAAGGTGGCAACAGATGGCAGATATTTACCT